CTTACTCTCAGTGAACAAGTTATGTTGGTATAGAGAGATCTGATGGTGTGCTACGACGGAATTAGTAGAAGCAGTGATAAATCAGTGGAAGTAGTGACAACGACGAATCAAGTGGAAGCGGCGGTGGCGATGGTTCTAATGGTACGTGACGGTCGGTAAAAACAACGATAGATACGGTGGAAGTAGCGCCAGATCCGTGGAGGCAGCTTCAAATCTGATGGTGTGTTGCGGCCAGTGAAAGATGCTGCAGATCTGATGGTGTGTGGCGGTCAGTGGAAGATGCGACGGATATGCAGGTGTGTAGCAGTCAGTGGAGGCTGCGACGGATTAGAAAAACAGCAACGGGTCGAGTAAAAGCAGTGATGGATCCGATGATGTGTGGCGGTAGAAGCGGCGACGGATTCTATGTAAACATCGATGGATTACTGAAAGCAACGACGGATCCGGATAATAGATTATGTATCCGGATAATTGAACATATTTAAGAGTAATTTTAATTATTAGCCGGATAAATTGTAAATACATCAGATAAATTTATGTAAAAAACTGGATAATATTATTAAACATGGATAATAAAGTACATATCCGAATAATAAAATGATTAAAATGTAATTTTAATTGTTAGCTGGATACTAACTATAAATACATACAACATACTAAATTTTATATTGATTTTCAAAAACGTTACAACATATGAGGATTAAATTGTAATACATTTTCTTTTCTTAATTATTTAGTTGAGTTTATACTTTCTCACCGTTAGTTTGCTAAATATGATATTTTTTATTCTTTTCCACGTAATTGACTCTAGAGTAAATAAAAAGTAAAACCAAAACTGTAAGTTTAATATGCACACTAGATAAGACAAATGGGTATGTTGGTCAATGTACACTAAGACATTTTTTGTCCTTGTGTAATTTGACTAAAAGGCGAAAGAATGCCTGCGCTTTGTGTAATTTACGATTAAAAAACTTTCTCGGTCCATTATATTGTTGTAAATTTCCCAAAAGAAGTATGTGTATATTGAAAAATATTAATAGTCCATAAATATTTTTATGGTAATTTTGTAACATATTGTTGTAGTTTTATGAGAGTTATCCTCACAACATGTAACGAGTTGGACATGAGTATTTTGGATAGGCACAAATTTATTCCAAACTGTACATAATTATTAAAATTAGAAAAGAAGAAATCTCCTTTGATTATATTAATTTATTTCTTACTTTGGTTTATCAGTTTTGGTATAAGTTTTTTTTTATAAAGTTTTAGTCAATTGTATTTGGGTGATTTTGTTTAATAACCAAAAAAAAACATAATATAATATCTAGCAAATTGGCTAGAGAGAGATAAGAAGAATTAGAGAGAGAAAAATATGGATTTTGGTTAGATTTTATATTATTGTTGTTTTGGTAACGTTTCTAATATATATGTTGATCATTTTAGGGAAAATTGAAAAAATATTATTTTTTATGTGCACATTTGCAAAAATACCATTTAGGGGTGTTCAGTTGCAAAAATACCTCTAATTATAGATTTTTAAGCTTTATATCTTAAAATTTTAAACACTAAAAAATGTTTTGACTTCTAAATCCCCCTAAATCCCCCTAAATCCTCGTAACTAAACTCTAATAGAACATAATTAACCCAAACATAAATAATATAAAGAAAAAATAATTTTGAAAAAGTGGAATTTTTGTAAAAATTTCAAAAGTGTGGTATTTTTGTAAAGTGACACTTGAAAAGTGGCATTTTTTGAAATTTTTCATCATTTTATTTTGCTAAATATTCTACATTATCTTAACAGTATTATTCATCCACGAAAACGTGAAGTAAAAAAAAAAAATTTCAAAAAATACCACTTTTTAAGTGTCATTTTACAAAAATGCCACACTTTTAAAATATTTACAAAAATGATACTTTTTCAAAATTATTTTTTCTTTATATTATTTATGTTTGGGTTAATTATGTTCTATTAGGGTTTAGTTTTGAGTGTTTAAGGGGTTTTAAGTGTTAAAATATTTTTTAGGGTTTAGAATTTTAAAATATAGGTTTTATAAATCTATAGTTAATAGTATTTTTGTAAATTGATATCCCTAAATGATAATCTTGCAAATGTGCACATAAAAAATGATATTTTTGTAATTGCTCCAAAAACAAAAGAATTGTGAGTTGAATTGAGCACAGAAAATGAGCTAAATTCAACTCGATGCATACTTTTTTTTTTCTGTGCTCAAATTTCGATGGATTCAAAGTTGGCATTATTTTCTTAAATAAAAGACACGCAAAACTCTAATTTAC